TCTCAAACCTCTGGGCTCAGGCAATCCTCCAGCCTCAGCCTCCCAAAGTGCTTGGACAGGCTGAGCCACCGGGCCCAGCCTTAAACTCGTCTTATTCAAGGGTCAACTGTATTTTCTCTATTTGTGGTAGGAACAAAGGACAGTAAAGTAGAAAGAAGCATTACTAGATGTGGATTTAGAAGAAATGAATTTGGGGTCTAGTTTTACCACTTTCTAGCTATGTGGTCTTAAAAGTAAGGTAAGCTCTGACCTTCTCATTTACTTTTTAACAGGATAAGATTACTGCATTATTGGGTTTATGGAAGAATGGAATGAAGTAAAGTATAAAGTAAAGACTATAGGCCGGGTGCAGTGGCTTACACCTGCTTTGGGAGGCCTAGGTGGGAGGACAGCTTAGGACAGGAATTTGAGACCAATCTGGACAACATAGTGAAACCCTGTGCCTACAAAAAAAATTTTTTTAAAAAATTAGCTGGGCATGGTAGCACATGCCTGTAGTCCCAGCTAATTGGGAGGTTGAGGCTATAGTGAGCCATGATTATGTTGCTGTACTCTAGCCTGGGTAACAGAGCGAGACCCCCATCTCTAAAACACAGAAGGAAAAAAATAAAAGACTTTATATTGGTGTTTTACTATTTTATGTGTTTAAATGAGAAAGGATGTAATAAAGAAGGCTGACATCAGCCTTGAATGAAACAATCAACTGTAAAAACTTTAACAAAAATACCCATAGGTAGGCAGCTGAGAAACAAAAAAAACATTTATAGCTATTATCTTTGTTTTCTGAAATATACTTCTAAGAAACACATATAGGCTAAGTAGGACAGGAAAAAACTTTTCTGATAGACTGTCTCTGAAAGAGTCTATCAACTGATTTAGGGCTCTAAACATGTGCTTGCGGCCCATACAACATAATGATATGGTTCATACTCAGTTAAAAAACACCTACTTCAAAAAATTTGATATAATATCAACTGTAAAATATTACCATATTATTTTATACACCACTACAGAAAAGACGTATTTGCCATGAAACAGTGAAATGCTATCACTTGAAGAATGCAACCCAATTTCAGAAAGGTTAAAATGTGGAAAAAGATAAGGTTTTTTGAAATGACTCCAATAGGTTAGAATTTAATCCAATTGTGAGACTTTATTCACAATATAAGTATCCTAGTGTAATTATTAAAAAAAAAATCCAAAAACCAATATTGTATTTCTTCCTTTTAAAAAGTATTTACCTTTTGCGTCTACCAGGAGACATTAAATTGGCATGAGTTTTCTTTTCCTGAGAACCAGGAATGACATTTAAAGTCTCTCCAGCTGTAATTAAAAAAGATAAAACTGTAAGCCAAGGAAACTGAATAGTTTTCTAAACTTGTAAAGGGATAAGACACGTTAAATATTATTTTATATTAAATTCAGTAAACATGTACTGAGTGCAAGGTATGGCAGAAGATATAAGGATTAAGAAAATATAGTCCCTATGCCCTAAGGTTTAACAACAAAATACAAAGTACAGTATAGTCTCAACAAAAATATACGACAACAGAATGGATAAAGTATAAGAAGTATAAACTAAGTGTTCTGGGTATAGAAAAGGATTTGGAGAAAAACAGAAATGACGGAGATATTAATGGATGGCAATAAATTTCAGCCACACAGAAGAGAAAGAAGACTGGACTGGGAACCAAGAAAGTTAACTCTGAATTCTCATGCCAGTTCCATTATTATCTAGCTTTTCCCCCATTACTTTTACGAGTTTTCAATATTTCCAAATATGCAACAAACAAGATTATCACATGATATCTAAGTTTATTCCTAGCTCTGAGACTCAGTCAGGAATATGTAGGATTTCTAGACACGTAGAGATAGAGGTAAAGTGGAAAGACATTCCTCGTTCCAGGAGGACAGACTGACATGAACAAAGTTAAGGAGGTGGTAAAATATAATGTGTAGTCCATTTAAAATCAAATACAGCCGGGCTCGGTGGCTCAGCCTGTAATCCCGTGCCGTTGGGAGGTTGAGGTGAGTGGACTGCCTGAGCCCGCGGGTTGGAGACCTGCCTGGGCAGCGAGACCTCATCTCTACAACAAATCAAAAAATCAGCCGGGCGTGGGAACGCATGCCTGTAATTCCGGCTACTCGGAAGGCTGAGGCGGAAGGATTGCCGGAGCCCAGCAGGTCGAGGCTGCGGTGGCCGGGAGTGGCCACTGCACTCCAGTCTGGGCGACAGAGTGAGACTCCAACTCAAAAAAAAAAAAATCAAATCAAATCAAATACAACAGAGACTTTCCTAATGCCCAAAATTGAGAATTGGAAGAGAGTTCAAGGATGGACTTTAGTTTGACTAGAAATAGGAAGGATCCTGGATTAAAATGCCTCACAGATTTTATATGCTTATTTTATGGCAAATCTAGACGTCTGTTCCACTCCTAGCCTCTCTCATCTCTCTCTCTTTTTTGGCGGGTGCCACAATTTTGTACTACGAGCACTAAGACATTAGTATATTATCTCATTCATACAATTTGATTAACAACAAAACTTAAGAGAACAAAACTTAAACTTACTGGCTACAGTATCTTGTGACTGTGAATGGTTGACCACTACAAAATATGACTTCAATGGATTTGAAATTTGGCCACTTGGTCGAACAACTTGTGTACCTGTCAAAGGAGAAGTGGTAAATTGTCCTGAAAGGCAAGGTAAAGTCAGCGACTCTGAACTGACGGGAGCTGTTTGAGATGCAAGCCTTCTCTGCCGTTTGATTTCTGCAATTCCACTTCTTGTTCGGGCTGAAAAATACGAGCATTTAAAAAATTAATTCAACATCAGAGTAGTATGGGAAGTTCCATTTACAGATTGAAAAATAGCCCTTAAAGATAAAGTACACTTATGTGACAATTTTATAAGAAACAAACTAAAATGAATACACTCAAGCTTTATAAATCCAAGAGTACTTTTCTGCATAATGCATACTGATAATAGCTTCACAAATTAAGAAACAAACTTATGAAATAAGAATTAAAAGATGCTACTACACGAGAACCAATGGGAAAGGTAGGAAGTATTTAAAATATATATTTTTTTGCTAAATGAATATTACTTCCTTATATGAAAACTGTATTTAGAAAATAGTAGTTTCAGCCGGGCTTGGTGGCTCAGTCTATAATCCCACACTTTGGGAGGCTGAGGTGAGTGGATTGCCTGAGCCCGCGGGTTCAAGACCCGCCTGGGCAACTTGGCGAGACCTCATCTCTACAATAAATCAAAAATTAGCCGGGCGTGTTAGCGCGTGCCTGTAGTTCCAGCTACTTGGAAGGATGAGGCAGAAGGATCGCTGGAGCCCAGCAGGTCGAGGCTGCAGTGGCCGGGAGCGGCCACTGCACTCCAGTCTGGGTGACAGAGTGAGACTCCAACTCAAATAAATAAAAAAATAAAAAAGTAAAGAAAACAGTAGCTTAAACAAAATACACACCTTGTATACATGTGTTGTTAATTAAAATGTTCACCAGTTAAAGTTTGAAGTAATTCTGAACATTTTATAGTTTAAAATTGAATACCAACCTGTCTGATTGGCAGTAAACCTTGGGAAACCTTGCATGCTCCTAACAAATAAAACAACGTAGTTATCCATTAAAATTTTTTTGATGCTGAGAATAAACTATGATTTAGTTATAGTCAGAACTAAAGTAAATTATGATTCAAAAGCAAAAGATCTCTTGCAGACAAAAAAACGAAACACATTTTTTGGTTAAGTAACTCTGATTTACTTTAGGAGAAAAAGAGTGGCATGTGAACACACTCACACACACATAATTTTAATTATGAAGTTTCTATCCAATGCAATGTGCATTAGAGTACCTTGATATTATATTAAGAAAACAATTTGATTTGACTTTATATTTAAGTAAGTTATATACAACACATAACATTTTTGAATATCTTTCATAATTATAGAGATGCCATCCCATTCTGATTTCACGTTTGACTCATATATAAATACTTAAGAATCCCAAAGCTGTTATCAAAAGGACATCCTGTTTTTTTCAAATTTATGACTATGAAATTATTTTATCCAACCACTAAACAAGATGCAAAATAAACATATGGAAAAATTCACAAAACAGTACAAGTTAATTGTTTTACTATGAATTGGAGTTGCCCATCCATTTATTTGGTAAACAGTCATATACCCTGTGCTATTGTCCTAGAAAATGTGTCAAATACATCTCCCTAAGAGCCACAAAACTTACTCAACTGAATGAAGCACTTTTAATAACACACAAACCAACCATGTAGAAAACTTGACTAAAAATCCTTTCTTTTCATGTAATCCCTGTCAATAAAACACCTAAATAACTTGCACAATATTTACAATTATTCACTAAATTGTGAATGTCTTTGAAGATGATATGCAAGGGCAGAAAAGACAAGAGCGAGGAAAGATAAAGACAAGACTGCCAAATTAAGATGTGAGAATAAGAGATGAGAGTGAGGCAGAAAGCATTTGGAGTCATTTTAGCAGGTTAAGCAGGGAAAGAAGAGGAAGCCCCTGCTGAAGTTTGGTCACAGCTCCAGGAGAAAGGGAAGAGACTATGGTTGTCAAAACAGACTCTATAGTCAAGTTAGAGATGATATAAAACTGATACCAGAAGATTCCAGAAGTGGCATTATTTGTTAAGTCTCTTGTTAAGTTTCTTTACAATAGGAAGAACCAGGAGACACAGGTTCAACACATTAATGATTTGAATATGTAGTGAAGGGGAAGTTGCCTGAGGGAATTTACACTGGCCTGGGATTAGTAAAATTGTATTCTCATACATCTGCCTCTAAATTGCCATGGAAACTTGGAAATGTCATTAAACTTCCACACATCTCAACTTCCTTGTTTGTAAACATTTTCTTAAAGGTGAGCTATTTATTTCAAGTCATTCCAAAGACAAAGAAATACCAATAATCTTTACAGTAATTAGATGAATGTTACATGCATACTGTGTAGGTCTTTAGATTAAATCCCAAAGTGTGCTGCCTGCATTCCAAAATCATTATGCAAATTCTAATAAGTTTATTACCTGATCTGAGAAAGTGTATGGTCTAACTTCTTCCACAGAGATGACATTACTGCTGGAATATCATTTGATGTTTCTGAATTATAAGAGGAAAAGGTTCTTAAGCTCAAGAAACTTCATCATTCATTTTGAACAAAGACATAGAAAATCACGTCACAGAAAAAACTTGTCTCTCAATTGTTAACATTATGTTGGGAATTAAGAAATAAGACTACTTTGCAAAAATGGCTTGCAAAACTATAACGAGGGTGCTTTCTCTTCTCAAGCCACTGGAAATCAGATACAATATAAGTGGAAATGAACATCTGTAAAGTCTCTGGCTACTCGGGAGGATTGCTTGAGCCCAGGAGTTTGAGGCTGCCGTGAGTCATGATTGTGCCAATGCACACCAGCCTGAGTGACAGAACAAGATTTCATTTCTTGACAACAATAACAACAAAAAACTCCAGAAGCTTTTTAGGCCGATAATCTTTTATGTTCCTTGCACTAAAAAAAGGACAAATCATGTTTTTGATCTTTGTTCTATCTGATATCATATGACATTTGAAAGTGAATTAAAATAGTTTGCTTCATAATACATATGAAATTATGCAAACTGCTTCTGAGTGTAGAAATTTAATTTTCATATTTAAAAACAGGTCTAAGTAATCAATCTCTCTCACTGGGTTATTCTCAAGATGTAAATTAGATAAAACATATGAAAGCATCTAGTACAATGCTTATACATAGTGTTCAAAAATGTTAAGCTTCTTTTTCTTTTATGTATTCATTTTATGCTCATTACTTTTTTTATGCTAATTATTTTGTCAATGTTGTAAGTTATAGAAATAATAAACATCACAGAATAAAATAAACAATCAGAACGTTCCCTAAATATCATTAATTTAAGTAAGTATTATTTTAAATTCTGGTAAGTAGAAGTCAGAATTTTATGACTGGCTCCTGTGTTCAGATTAAGATCTCCTAGAAGTTAAAATTAAAAGGTCAGTTTAAAACTTTATGACACATAGCAATGCCTGTTCACTAGCACAGATAACTCAGAGTTAAGAGTTTTATTTTGTGCCTTTTTTAAAAGATGACTTTTTTGGTTATATATACTCATATTAATATTTTGCAATTTATATACCACGCAATATAAACATAAATTAGATGTTTCCCAGTAAAATTTATCTCAAAACTATGACAATTTTTCTCAAAGCTTTTATGAAATATTAATATCCTTTAAAAATTATTTCTGATTAAAACAGGAAGATAAATGCTATATAAAAATATCAGAAAAAAAATCTCTGAACTCAGAATCTTACCTTTTGTTTTCATAGCTACATATTCATTCAAAATTGTTGTCAAGTTTTTTCCAAATAAGGACTGAAAAGAGAAAGATCAAGCCTTACCAAAATAGTATAATACAACCAATAATTTCTCACCAGGAAACATCCCACCATTCAAAAGTTAATAAAAGATCTGATTGCAGAGTAGCTGAGGAGGAAATGGTAAAACAGCAGGTCATCAAAAATGAAAAGAGTCACCCAAGTTAGAGTTTTGGCATCAAAGCTTCTAAGGGCGAAGAACTTTGCCGGTTTGAATAGGACATTGTGACTATACATTTTTTTTGAGATTAGACACAAAAAGCAAAGGGCAAAAAAGCAATTTTAAACTGGGAGGTAAGGATCTTGTCATACAACTGTTTAAAAGCAATAAGGGCTGAGTCCTAATCCACCATTGCTGTCCTGAAAGCCATGTGAACCCAACAAAGATCAAAGTAAAACAATTGAGTGTGTAAGAGATACCTTTTCCAGGATCAGTACATTCCCGTTCTCATGTCTATCATCTCATCAACCCACCTGTTTTATCCCTTATTCCTACAACAACACAAGGGAGGGTTTTTATTACCTGAAATTTGAGGTCACAGAATAGAACAAGAGCAAGGATTCCAGAGCAGAGAGTTGTGGTTTCAAATTCAATTAGGTGATTTATCACACACTTACATGTGTGATAAATCACCTAAATTCTCTAGGCTTACTTTCTATGTATAAATGGTCATATTAATTCTAAATCCCTAGGATCGTTCACTGTGAAGATGGCATGAGGACATATATCTGACACATTCAGGATTAGTTCCCTTACCCCTTCTGAACTTGCACAGCAGAATTCTAATTTGCTGATCATCTTCAAAGCCTGAGAAGGTAAGGGTTTGCCTAATACTATCTTGGTGATTACACCTTGTTTATTTCTAGTAGATAATTAATTGCTGTATGAGTTGACTGAAGAATTGAATTCTTTTTACATAGAAACCCTTAACCTTCCCCACTGCTGTAAAATTTGATGTGGACATGAGGGTCTCACCACCTAAGAGATCACAGCAATCCCTTCCCTTTGGCCTCACCAGGTAGAAGGATGATCCTAGGAATATCCCTTCCTCTTCACTCACCTTTTTCCCCACTTTGTTTCTTTTCTTTCTCTTCTCTGCTAATATGTTGAAGCTCTGCCAAGCAGTATACTTGGAAATAGAAAGTAACAGAAAGAACATAGCGAAGACTCTAATGTTACTTATTTATTAGAACTTTGTGCTCATAATTTAATCTTTCTGAACTTTTAGTTTCCTTGTATAAAACTTGGGACATGATTACTGACCTTTGTCTACTTTGTAAGGTTGTTTTTTGGGTTTTTTTTTTTTTGAGTCAGAGTCTCACTCTGTCACCCAGGCTAGAGTGCAATGGCATGGCTACTACAGCCTCGACCTGCTGGATTCAGGCGATCCTTCTGCCCAGTCTTCCAAGTAGCTAGAATTACACACATGTCCCATCACACCTAGCTAATTTTTTGATTTATTGTAGAGACAAGGGCTCACCATATTGCCCAGGCTGGTCTTGAACCTGTGAACTCAGGCAATCCTCTTGTGGTGGGATTATAGGCATGAGCCACCGTGCCCAGCTGGATTTTTTTAGATTTTTATAAAGAAAAATTTGATTCAAAGAGGAATTTCAAAGATGGTATAGTTCCCATGCATCCTTCACTCAGCAGCCTATCATACTAGCATCTTGCATGACCATGGTACTTTTATTAACAATAAAAAATAACATTAGTATACTATTAACTATACTACAAACTTTACTCAGATTTTGTCATTTTTTCACTGACATTCTTTCTTTGTCCCAAGATTTAAATTAGAATACATTACATTTAGACATCATTATCTTGTCAGTCTCCTCAGATGTGTGACAGATTCTGTCTTTCCTTGTTTTTCTTGACCTTGACACTTTTGAAGAGCACTGGCTAGTATTTTGTACAATGTCCCTTAATATGGGTTTGCCTGATGTCTTCTGATGATTGCACTGGGGTTGATGTAATTTTGGGAAGACAGTCATGAAAACAAAGTTCCCTTTTTACTACATTAAATCAGGGGGTACATGATACTAACATGACTTATCACTGGTGATGGTAACATTTAACACCGATCACTTGGTTATGGTTCTGTCTGTAACACTTCTCCACTAGAAAGGTAGTATTTTCATATGTTATTGGTTAGAAGCAAGTCATGAAGTCAAGCCCACACAATTCCACACAAAGGAAAATAAATGAAGCTCTATCTATGTCTTGGAGAGGGGTATCTACATTTATTAGCTCGAATTCTTCTGTGAGAAAGAATTGTCATTTCTCTCCCATCTATTATTTATGTAAGCATAAATAATTGGATTTATTATTTATTTATTATTACATTGGATTGCAATGTAATAATATCATTTATTTTGCTATAGCAGTTTTAGCCACTGGGAATTCTTTCAGGTAGATTCCCATGTCCCTTTCATTTATACCCCCCATTCTTTTTTTAAAAAAGAATTTTCTTACTAGCTACAAGATGTTTTTAGCTCATCATGTATTTTCCCTGCAGCAGCCCTATAATCTGCCATTTCTCCAAGGAGCCCTGGTTCTTTTTGTTGGAGAATGGTATTTAGAAACCAAGATCTGGGTGTTAGGTGTACTGATAGCTACTTGGGTATCACTGCTTCTAGGTCCTCTCAGCAGACAGTTATATACACACATACAAATCCACATAGAAACATCTACATTTCTATGTCTGTTTATATAATAACCACAACTTTATCTCACACTAACACCACAGATTTCATTATTATGCTTCTTAGTATCTTCTTTCTTACCTGGTTAAAAACCTTGCTTCCACTATCTACAATTTATTTTTTCAGATTTAGAAGAAATTAGAAATTTTAAAAACATTCATACATGTTGTGTGAATCAATAGCATGCTGCTTTTCATTGCTGAGTAGTATTGCTTTGTACAAACATACCAGAGTTTGTATATTCATTTATTTGTCGAAAGACAACTTAGTTGTTTTCAGTTTTTTGACCACTATGAGCAAACATCAATGTGCAGGTTTTTGTCTGAACATAATGTTGGGTCACATGGAGAGTATATATTTAATTTTACAAGCAAAAAAACAATTGAATGATTTTGCATTCTTTTTTTTTTGAGTTGAAGTCTCACTCTGTTGCCCAGACTGGAGTGAACTGGCCGCTCACGGCCACCGCAGCCTCGACCTGCTGGGCTCCAGCAATCCTCCCGCCTCAGCCTTCCAAGTAGCTGGAACTACAGGGGGACACTACCACACCCAGTTAATTTTTTTTTATTTATTGTAGAGATGAGGTCTCACCAAGTTGACCAGGCGGGTCTTGAACCCACGGGCTCAGGCAATACACTCACCTCAGCCTCCCAAGGTGCGGGATTACAGGTTGAATCACCGACCCTGGCTAATTTTACATTCTTTTTTTTTTTTGAGTTGGAGTCTCACTCTGTCACCCAGACTGGAGTGCAGTGGCCGCTCCCGGCCACCATAGCCTGCTGGGCTCTGGCGATCCTTTCACCTTAGCCTTCCAAGTAGCCGGAATTATAGGCATGCGCTACCACAGCCTGGCTGATTTTTGGATTTATTGTAGAGATGAGGTCTTACTGCCCAGGCGGGTCTCGAACCCGCGGGCTCAGGCAATCCACTCACCTCAGCCTCCCAAAGGCGAGGGATTACAGGCTGAGCCACCTAGCCCGGCTGATTTTACATTCTTATCAGCAACAAACAAGAGTCTCTGCTGCTCTGCACACTTGCCACCAAGGGCTTGTGAGTTTTTCAACTCTTTTCTTATTTTAGCTATTCTAATATGTAGGTATTAGTATCTCACTGGGTGTCAATTTACATTTTCTTAATTACTAATTATGTAGAGGATGTTTTCATATGCTTATGGCCATCTGTACATTTTTTTTAGTAAAGTGTCTTTAGAACTCTTAATCATTAAATACAATTCACTTGTTTGTTTTGTTGAATATTAAGAGTTCTTTATATATTCTGAGTATAAGTCCTTTATCAGATACGTAAGGTGCAAATATTTTTACCCAGTCTTTTAAAAAAAATTTTTAATTTTAAACATGTGAGGTACAATTCGGGATTAGGTATATAAGTGGTCACTGTACAGGTAAAGTTTGGACCTCCCTTTGGTCCTCACTTTGCCTGATCAGAGATCAGGTACCCTTATTGATGTAGTGTACTCCCTCCTCCCCCCAGCAGTATCCTTATAGTATTCTTATAGTATTATGATAAATGTTCAGGGGCTGCTTATGAGTGAGAACATGTTCACCCAGCCTGGGTTTTCTTTTTTTTTTTTTTTTTTTTTTGAGTTGGAGTCTCACTGTCACCAAGGCAGGAGTACAGCTCATGGTCACTGCAGCCTCGACTGCTTGGCTCAGACGATCCTTTCGCCTCAGCCTTCCAAGTAGCTGGAACTACAGGTGCGTGCCACCATGCCCGGCTAATTTTTTTATTTATTGTAGAGACAAGGTCTCACCAAGTTGCCAAGGCTGGTCTCAAAGCCCTGGGTTCAGGCAATCCTCTTGCCTCGGCCTCCCAAAGTGCTGGGATTATAGGCTTGAGCCACTATACCCGGCCACCCAGCCTGTTTTAACATGCCTCTTGTGGAGCAAAAGTTTTTAATTTTTATAAATTGAATTTGCCTAATTTTTTCTTTTTAGTCCATGCTTTTGACGTCATATATAAAACTCATTGTGAAACCTAACGTCACACAAATTTTCCCCTATGTGTTCATCCAGAAGTCTTATAGTCCTATGTTTTACATTCTGGTCTATGATTCATGTTGGTTCACTTTTACTTCATATATGAGGTATCTGTAGAGGTTCTTTTTTTTGAAAATGCATGTCTGCTTGCTCGACTATCCTTTCCCATTAAATTGTCTTTGCAGCTTTATAAAAAAATCAGTTGTGTGGGTGTATGTTTGGATTTTCTGTTCTGTTCCACTGGTCTACAAGTCTAACCTACCACTGATGCCCCTTAATCTTGACTAGTGAGCTTTTAGTAAGTATGAAATCAGGTTATGTGAATTCTCCAACTTGTTCTTTTCTCCAACTGTTTGTGCTAGCTCCCTTTCCATATATAATTTATAATTCAGATTGTTGTTATCTATAAAAATGCTTGCAGGGATTCTGATTGTGAAAAATCTATAAACCATAGTGGGAAGAAGTGACACTTTAATATTGAACCTCTCAATCCATACGCACAGTATTGTTCTCCTTTTATTTAATCCTTAGATTTCATTCAAGTAACTTTAGGTATACATATACTGTTGGATTCTTTAGGCATTTTGTTTTTGTTGCTATTACAAATGGATATTTTTTTAAAATTTCAAGTTCTAACTGTTCATTACAGGTCTACAGAAATAGAAAGGATTTGTGTATATTTTGTATTGACCTTGATAAACACTAGCTTTGTAGACTCTTTTTGGTTTCCTACATAGACAGTCTGTGTTATCTGTGATTGTTGAGCTGTCTTTTGAGGAGTCATGTTTACAGTAAAATGACAACCACTATGTAAAATAACGTAGTTCTGGAAAGTATGAATTATATACCAAATAATGGTCTGTCAGTTTAGTGATATGTACAAAAGAGATGATAACAAGATACCAAAATATCTGTTTTACATTTTCCTGAATTAAGCAGCCAGATATAGGTCAGGAAAACATAAAAAAAAGCTCTGAAATAGTAGCAGCAAAACTAATTAGAAATAAGAGTGTCATTTTTGAGACTGATTCTCAGAATCAAAGTTGTAATTCATTTAATACCTTGGAGTAAATGTGGAAAAAGAACAGCTGGCCTTTTCTGGGTCTTATCTGTCATGCATGAATATAAAGCATCATATTTCCGTCAATTGCTTTTTTCTTTCTTTTTTTTTTTGCCAAAAAGCCAATTTTAAGACTGTGTTTATAGTTGCTTGTGTTGGTTGAAGATAAAATATTTCCCCCGAGGAACTAATAACTCACCAGTAAGCTGGCTGGAATAAAATCTTCATCTGTACAGTGTTCTGCATATTCTTTTAAATCTGAACTTTCCAAAATAAAAGTCTGGCAGGTAGAAGTGAGGTTTTCTTGTTGTAAGTAACCTAATGAAAATAAAAGTTTACGTAATTTTAGAATTTAGGTACATTAAATTCTGCACTTTTGGTAAAACTGCTATTGAAAATGCTCTAAGTACCAATATCATGATTGGAGCCTCAGTTACAATGTTCTAGTGTTCTGCAGACTTGTACAGAAATACCAGGTTGTACTGCAATACAAAATATAATTCACAGAACAGGTGGCCCCTTCATAAGAAACAATTCTAGACAAACTAGTAAAATAAAGTGACAAAGCACAATTATTTCACAGCAGTGCTTACAGGAAAATCTACAAAGAAATGAAAAATAAGTACATTCCTCTACTTCATTAACTTCCGTGTTGACTAGGTCAGTAGATGGTATAAATTCACTTAATGGATTACTAAAAAACTATATCCTTACAATGTTGCTATTTATTTGTATACTTCATTTATTTGCTTAATAACTTCCAAAAAGAATGAACAGAAGACCTACTCTGCATGAAAGGTCAGAAAGAAACTTCTTTGATTCTCAATTTATGCCCTCTTTGAATCAAAGTACTACCAGTTCCAACAAGAACCTTAATCTTAAGTAAAGGCTAAGGTAGAGTTGTCAACTGTTTGGCTGAGTTAAAGCAACCTCCCAATGCATACACAGACCTCTCTTAGCAAACAATGGGAGAACTTATTTGTTTCCAACAATTAAGGAAATCAATGTCCAAACACAGACTGTAATCTCCTTTAACAATATAGATGTCGTATAATTATTAGTTCAGCAAACTCAATAAATAAACAGCAACAGCTCAAACAACAAACACAGAGGAAGGAGAAGAATCTGATTACAAGAGCTGTCACATTACATTACTTAAGACATCAAAATTTCCACAAAAACCTATGAGACATGCAAAGAAACAGGAAAGTATGGCTTATACATAGTTAAAAAAAAGTCAGTAGAAATGGTTCCCAAGGAAATCCTGACACTGAACTTAATGCAATTATGAGCTAGTTTCATGTAACCTCAGAAAACTAAAGTAAACCATGCCCAAGAAATTATGAGAACAATGTCTCACCACATAGAAAATACCAATAATTAAATATAGGCATGTGTTGCTTAACAATGAAAACATTCTGGGAAATGCATCATTAGGCAATTCTGTCATTGTGAAAACATCACAGAGTACACTGAAACAACCAAAAGTCGTAGCCTACTAAACAGCTAGGCTGTATGGTATAGCCTATTGCCCCTAGGCTGCAAACCTATACATGTTACTGTACTGAATAATGCAGGCAATTGTGACACAATGGTAAATATTTGTGTATCAAGACATAGAAAGGTAGACTAAAAAGATAGTATTATAATCGTATGGGACCACCATCATACATGTGGTCTGTCGTTGACCAACATGACTACAGTCATGACTATAGATACTAAAAGAAAGAAGCAAATGGAAATTCTGGAGTTGAAAAGTGTAATACTGAAGTGAAAAACTCACTAGAGGGGGTTCAATAGCAGATTTTAGGACAGAAAATAAAGAAGAATCTGATCTGAAAAACGGAAACAAAAAAGAATGACAAAAAGTAAACAATCTCAGAGACCTATGGGATACCATCAAGTGTACCAACATAAACATAATAGAAATCTGATAATGAGAAAAGTGTCAGAAAGGGCCAGAAATAGTATTTGAAGAAATATATCCAAAACTTCACAAATTTAAGAAAAAAGATTAATCTACATCAAGGAAGTTCAACAATCTCTAAGTAGCATAAACACAAAGAGATCCATATATAGACCATTATCAAACTGAAAAGATAAAGAAGGAAACAGGAAATTTTGAAAGTAACAAGAAAAACCACTCATCACATACAAGGGTCTCAAAAAGATTAACAAACAAAATCAAAACCAAGCAAAAAACCCAGGAATTCTACATCTAGCAAGATTCTCCATCAAGAATAAACTAATATATTACAGGATAAAAATTGAGAATTTGTTGCTAGTAGAATTGCTCTGCAAAAATTGCTTAAGGGGGAGTCTTTCAGGCCGTAAGAGTATAAATTTTTTTTGGTATGCAACTTTTTTTTCTTTCTGCTTAAAAAAATAACTGTATACAACAATGATTATAAATCTGGCTTGAAGGGCATACAATTCATGAAGATGTAGCCTCAGAAAGGAAGAGGAAGAGAACTATATAGGGGCAAAGTTTTTAGACGCTATTGAAATTAAGTTGGTATTAATCTAAATAAGATTGTTTTAACTTAATAAGTTAACTGTAATCTCAAGGGCAATCATTAATAAGACAACACACACACACACAAAAACAATATGTCATTAAATAGTAAATTGAGGCCAGGCATGGTGGCTCATGCCTGTAATCTCAGGGTCGACCTGCTGGGATCCAGCGATCTTTCCGCCTTGGCCTTCCAAGTAGCTGAACTACAGGTGTGTGCTACCATGTCCGGCCAATTTTTGATTTATTGTAGAGATGAAGTCTCGCCAAGTTGCCTGGGCTAGTCTTGAACCCCCGGACTCAGGCAATCCACTCACTTTGGCCTCCCAGAGTGCTGGGATTACAGGCTGAGCCACCGAGCCCGGCCTACTCTCACATTTTAGGAGGCCTAGGTGGGAAGATAGCTTGTGCCCAGGAGTTTGAGACCAACCTAGGCAACACAGAGAGACCTCATCTAAACAAAAAATCCAAAAAATTAGCTGGGTGTGGTGACACAAAGCCTGTAGTCCTAGCTACTTAGAGGGCCGAGGCAGGAGAATTACTTCAAATCAGGAGTTTAAGGCTGGGCTGAACCATGACTACGTCCCTGCACTCCAGTCTGGGCAATACAGTGAGACCCTAATTCAATAAAACAAAATAAATAAAATAGTAAATTGAGTTAGGCACAGTGGCCCATGCCTATAATCCCAGCACTTTGGGAGTCTGAGGCGGGAGGAGTGCTTGAGGCCAGAAATTTGAGACCAGTCTGAACAAGATAGTGAGACCTGTATCTACAAAAAATAAAAATGTTAGGTAGGCATAGTTGTGAGCGCCTGTAGCTCCAGCTATGTGAAAGGCTGACGCAGGAGGATTGCTTGAGCCCTGAAGTTCAAGCCTGCAGTGAGCTACGATAGCCACTACTGCACTCCAGCCTGGGCAACAGAGCAAGATACTATCTCAAAAAAAAAGTAAGCCAAAAATACTTATTTAACAGAAAACAGGCAGTAATAAAGGAATAGAATAAAAAATACATAAGACATATAAACAACAAATGGCCCAGATGGCAGACATAATTAATCTCTTTTCAGTAATGCTAAAAAGTGAGTGGCAGAATGGATACAAACAGGATTCAACCACAGGCTGTGTATAAGCAACACTTTAGATTAAAATACACAAGTAGATTAAAAGTAAAACGACTGGAGAGATATATTATCCAGATAGTAAACGAATGACCTGAAGAAATTATATTAATACAGGCAAGGCCAGGTGCAGTAGCTGTTGCCTGTAATTCTAGCACTTTGGGAGGCTGAGTTAGGAGGACAGCTTGAGGCTAGGAGTTCAAGACCACCCTGGGCAACATGGCAAGAACCCATCTCTACAAAAGTTAAAAAGGTGACTGAGTGTGGTAGAGTGCCCATAGTCCCAGCTACTCAGGAGGCGGAGGCAGGAGGAATCCAGGAGTTTGAATCCAGGAGTTTGAGGCTGCAGTGAGCTAGGATCATACCACTGCACTCCAGCCTGGGTGACAGAGTGAGACCCTGACAAGACAAGACAAAATAAAACAAAACCCACCAAACAAAAACAAAACAGTTTGAATATTCCTTATCTGAGGTACTTGGCAACCGATAGTTCAGATTTTGTTATATTTTCTGGATTTTGGAATATTTTCATTATATTTGCTGGTTGAGTACCCTCAATATGAAAATCCAAAATGCCCCAATGAGCATTTCTTTTGCACATAATGTTGGTACTCAGAAAGTTTCAGATTTTGGAATTTTTGAATTAGGGATGCTCAACCTGTATCAGACAAAGTTTAAGACAAACATGTTACAACAAAGATAATTATAAAAGGGTCAATCCATCAAAAAAATAACAATCACAAACATACATTCACCTAACAACAGAGTCCAAAAAGCATGAACTAAGAACTAGAGAAGCAGATAATTCAATGAAAGTTGGAGATTTCAGTACCTCACTTTCAATAGTGAATAGAACTAAGCAGAAGATCAACAAGAAAATAGAAGACTGCAACGTTGTAAACCAACTAGTCCCAATAGACAACTGTAACTCAACAAGAGCAGAAAGTATATTTTTCCCAAGTGTACCTGGAACACTTTCCAGGATAGATAGACCACATACAAAGACATAAAACAAGTGTTAATAAGTTGAAAAAAATCCTGAAATCATACACAGCAGGCTCTCTGACCACAACAAAATGAAATCAGTAACATTAGGAATGTAAAAATTTCACAAATAAGTGAAAATTAAACCTCCTAAGTAAAAGGTATAACAAAGATATCAAAACAAAATCACACCATACCAAAACTTATGAGATGCAATTAAAGCAGTATATGGCAAAAAAACTGATAGCTATAAACACCTCTATTTAAAAAAGATAAGCTAGGTGCGGTTGCTTACATTTGTAATCCCAGTTACCTGGCAGGGCTAGGTGGCAGGATCCCTTCAGGCCAAAAGCTTGAGACCAGTCTGAACTTAGCAAGACCTCATCTCTAAGACAAATTTATTTTATTATCATTATTTTTGACTCAGTGTCTCACTCTGTCGCCCAGATGGAACGCAGTGACACAATAAAAGCTTACCGCAGCCTCAACCTCCTGAACTCAGGCAATCCTTCCACCTCAGCATCCCGAGTAGCTAGGACTACAGGTGTGTACCACCCATCTCCTGGCCAATTTTTTTTATTTTTAGAAAAGCCGAGGTCTCGCTATGTTGCCTAGGCTGGTCTTGAACTCCTGAACTCAAGCAATCTTTCCACCTCAGCCTCCCAAAGTGCTGGAAGTTAGCCACTGTGCGTGGTCTCCAA